GCCCCTATACTAAAATCCAAGGAGGTTTTGTGCCATAATGATATGTGCGTATGGTCTGAAGAAAAAAAAAAAAGAAAAAAAAAGAAAAAAAAGTTTTATTTCATTACAGAGTCACAGTTCTAAAACCTGATCTCCAGGAACCAGGATAGGGGTTGGCACAAGGACAGGACAGGAAGTAGCAATGAGCCTCTGCCACCTGAGCTGTAGATAAAAGGGAAAGAAAAGGTCTTCAGGCTTGTAACACGAGATACATAGAATGGCAAAGAGTAAGAGCAGGTTTAGCCATTCTTTTTTCCCCTCTGTTGGAAAACAGCAAACTGTATGTTTTGGCAAAATGTTTGAGGCCCTAAGAAAGGGAAAGTGTCTCCTTCCAAAAAGGGGAAAGAGAAAAATGCTCCAACAACATGTGAGGTAATGACAAACACTGCATGCAGCGGAATGCAAGTGTTCCTTCAAAGTCACTTGTGCAGTCCCAGAAAAAAAAGAGTCTAAATAGCTTATCAAAGCAGATAATCAAATCCAAATAGACCTTCAAAAAAACTTCTTAGGTTTGCCTGGCCTTTTTTTCTTAAAAATAAGAACAAAAAACAAAGGAACTTCACAAACAAAACCAACCACCTTTGTATTTCAAAGCTTCTCCCCTTAAAGCTGTGCCAGGAGACAGTGCCATCCACACATACAGCCTCTGCTTAAGTGAGGATTTCCTAAGATCAGCATAGATCAGGATTTAAGTTCCTCAATGGAACAAGCCTGTTAGAAGCCTGGACAAACTGTAAGCACACTGAGTGAAAAACTGTCTTCAGAATATTTCTCCTACAAGTTACAGGAAGTCTTCAAACTCTAATTTAAAGGCAAAGAGCAAATAGACATAGGTCTAGCACATAGGCAGACATCCTGAAGAGTAGTAATCCCTTTGATAAACAAAAAACAACACATGCATATGGGTACTATTCTGCTGGTCTTTCTCCTGTTTGCAATCCTGCCAAAAAATCCAAGGTTTAGAGCAGAAGAATGTCTTATAATGCAAGGGACAGCTAGATTAGCTCTCTACCCCAGGAGCCCAAAAGCTGTAGAACAATTCTAGTACCTCCTCTTCTACAAATTGAAGCTGTATACAACAGGTGCAGGCTCAGTTCAGAAATAAACTTAATTTCTATATGAATCAGTTTAGATAGAAGTCCATCTCCTGTACTAAACACAGAGAAAAAGACAGCATTACTGCAGTGAATACAAAATCTCTGTTTTGCAAATCACTTACACCACTGGCTCCACATATGACTGCTGCCCAGGCATCCATTCTGGTGCTCTGTAACACTTCCCCCCCCTTGACATCCTCTGAGCACAGATCATTTCTTTCCTTTCTGTGCACTTTGTCTAAAGCAATATGGATTGAATGACTCACTCCATTATTCAAGCCACTTCCAAGGTAGCACTCCTATTTTTGTATTTGTGTTATAGTGTAATATTTATTGTGTCATAATATATTACGCTTTGGTTTTTCATTTGCCAGTTCTCCTCTGATTTACAGGTGCATAAATCTATCAGCTCTGAAGAGTTTCTTGTTCCCATGTATGGCTGCAGTCCTAACTGTTGAGCGAGCAGTGCATGAGATAGCAGTCCCCAGAATAATCCAGCCATGATCATTTTTCCCTTCTGAAACTGCCAGTGCTTATGAAACCCTGGGTTCATTCAGCACATGGGTAGCTGTCCTGAAGCAAAGCAGCCTCTACTCTCCACAAGCATCCAGAAGCCACCAAAGAGGTGCAAGCCAACCTCTGTGGGTAAAAAGCAAAATGTATTATTGTTGGCATCGGCATAAGAATCCCTCCAGCTCCTCTCATATATGGGAGACCAAGGGCAAGACATGAGCAGGGAGCGTGAGATGTGCTGAGGACAAAGCAGCAGGAGCAGGAACTCATTCCCATGGATGCCAGTACAAAAGCATCCAGAGCAGATGAACAGGATATGAATAGCAAAAAGGGTTGGGAGTAAAATCGTGCTATTCAACAAAATATGCAAAAATGAGGTAACTCTTGCCAGTCTGCGTTATGCATGGCATCTCCTGGAAGACAGAGAAAGCTGCTCAGTCCATCTGAATCTGTTTGCACTTAAACCAGAGGAAATGTGGAGTCTACATGAAGTATTAAAATAGACAAGCAGAGAAGCAACACCAGTCAAACACCAATCAAGTTCATGCTATGCATATGGATAAATAAGCTTTCAGTGAAGTAAAATAAGCAAGCATTGAACATTAATTCCATTGACATGGGTCTCTAGACTGTGCAATTTCTGATCTGCAAATAATGAAATGATTACCATCTCATCTTACTGTACTCACAGTTAACTTCATTCTGATTCAAATCAGGATTTAGGGCTGAAATTTCTCTGAGAGCTCATTCCTGCTAATGCCATTAATTCAAGCAACATATAATGTGAAATGCTTACATGCATTGCAATATTTTTCTGCAACAGAAAGTAGCTCCTCAATCTGTCTGCAAAACGTTGTTGTGTTCAAGAACTTGCCTGTTGTGACACTTGAGGTCTGACCAAACACACAACAAGAACGTCCCTTCCCTGCCAGGCCATGACACAGGCACTGCTCCAGCACACAGCTCCATGATAAAGGGGTTGCTCTGGCTCTGTTTGGTGTGAAAAGTCACATTCCAGGACCACAGCTTAACTCTAGCTATCTTCTTAACAAAAAAAATAGAAAATTTATGCTGTAGTCCTAAAGCTTGTGTCATTTCTAGTTCTTGCTAGCAATTCTGCAGTGTCCAAATCGCCAACTAACTCATAGCTATTCTTTCACCCCACAGTTAAAGCAAAAGCAAACGAACAAAAACTTCACTTCTAATATTTTACACACATATATAAAAACATGGACTTTTTCACATGCAAAATTTAGGCACGACTCAAGGATATGCTTGGTCCGTTTTGCCCAACAAAGATTTACAGTCAAGCAATTAAGATTCCTTTGTAGGACGGCAACTTTCCCATGTCAGTTTTATCTCAGACAACTTTAAAACTGTCAGTAACTTTAGTAAATATAGAAATCAGTGACTGTAAAGTATTACTTCTATATATTCTAGGATCCAAAGATCCAAAAAAAGATTTAAATGAAAATACTGGCCTGGTACCAGAAACCCCAAATTTTCAATCACTTCCCATTAAGACAAAACTGCAGTTATTGATTTCTTAAGCAATCATAAAATTCAGTGGATAAAACACTGGTATGTAGTTGATGAAGCCTTGCTATGACTTCCATCTCTGCTGTAGGACTGTGGGTATATAATCTCACCTTGCTTTGCTCCACCATTGCTTTCTGCATGCAGAAAGGGCTGTATATAAGCCTGTAATTAGTTATAATTATTTGTTGCTGCTATTCAGAACTTCCCTCACAGCTTTCATGTAGCAAAATGGCCCTTTCTTCATGTGTTCATGAGTGATCCCAGTAACACACAAGAAGGCTCAAGTTTCAAGACTATGCCAGAAAACAAAGCAGTGTATACATTCTAGTATAGACCAGCAAGCAAACTTGTGTCAGATTCTTGTGAAGCCTCAAGGTGTGAGCTGCTTCTCCTCTCACCTTGCACATTCTGTAACAGCTCACTAAGTACCTTTCTATCTTCATGAAACCAGCAATACAAAATGAGTCAAAGAGGTATCATCAGCAGTAAGTCCTTTTACAAAAATGTCACAAGGATGTAAACCCTGAACCTCATTCAATTCCACATTTTCCCATTCTCATTACTATTCTGACATCTTAACTCAATTTTTTTCTTATCTTCAGTTTTAGCCACAGAAAGCAAAAGCATTTCCCATGTATCAGAAGAACAGAAGTTTTAAGGTATTCAACAATATGGTCAAACACTGTTTCCCAAATGAAAAGCGCAGCCTATTTTGACCAGGCCATTATTAGCATAAAAATCTTCAAAGCTGACCATAAAAATGCTTAAAATCTATAATCCACATAAAATCTATACAGTGCTGTGAAGTACAATCTAAAACATAGCTACACAAGCACTTGTATAATCTACTGCTGGAATCTCATTGCCAGTTTTTGGCCCAGGTCTGTGAAACCCTTTTACAGGCTTGCAAAAGAGACATGTCCTTGTACAGCCCAGCGTGGCTGTGGCCTTCAGTCCCCACACAGCCACTGAGCAGAGCCTGCAGAACATGAGGCAGGCTGCTGGTCCTTCAGGTTGGACCAGTTCCCATGTGTGCATTCAAGATTTACTTCTCTCAAAGACTGTTCCTGACCTTGACCGTGGCCTTTGAAATTTATGGGTTGGTAAAAGGGAACAGAGGAATGAAAACACTTGAAGTTCCTAACCTTCTTACTTACCCACACCAGATGGCTGCTGCTGACTGTCAGCAGCAGCCCAGTGTTACCACATAACAGTGTCTGGGTACAAGAATTATATCTTATCAAAGATGGTGTGAAGGTTGGCTTTTAACAGGTCCTGGTGCCTTCTGTTCAGATAGCACATTTTACTCATCTGGAATTCCGAGGGATCTACAATTTTTAAACCTGAATACTGCTCTTTCCCAGGCCTTTACTTCTTGAAAACAGTAGCTACCAAGTGGCTTTTGTGATGCGTGCACCCCATCTTTTAGCTGGTCCAGAAAAACTGACCTAATTTTCAAAGGATCCTTTACGAAATCAGCAATTCTCAGGCATCAGAAAAATGTGCCAAGTATCTAAGTGAGAGAGAGTAGGTTTTGTGAGGGATCCTCCTTCATCCTGAAACAGTAGTGAAGGTTTTATTTTTTAATAGTTAAGCCCACAGAATCCATTTTTCTACTTCTCTACATCAGAGGTCTTTCCCTGTTCCTCACAAAAACCTGGATATGAAAGCATTCCTGTTGGCTGAACAACAACAGTAATGGAGTGGACAATTATTTAATTCCTTGAGCAAATGGACATTATATGCACAGAAAAATTAAAGCTTTTTTTCCTGGGACCATCCTCAGTGTTTATGTTGCATCTGTTGCCTTACCTTCCATAAGAGCACAGCCAGCAACAGGAAGATGAGAATTCCCACCAGCAAACTGATGGCAATGATCCACCCGACAACATAGCCACGAGGCTCCAGATTGTGTAAAGCTTCAAAGACCACCTACAAAGCAATTAGAAAAAGATCTTTTTATGATTGGAAGCTGTATTGCTTTCTCTTGTACTCAAGTTATGAAATACACTGCATGGTGGCCTGACCGATCGTCTTTCATCCATTTATCCATCAAACAAATACGGAATGTGCTCTTAATTTCATGCTTTTATTTTTTTCTTTTTTTTGAGGGATTGGAAGCTTCAAACAGAATCTGAGCAGTCATGTGACATCAGCTCCCACTAAGGATAAAGCATATCTGCTCCCACTCAAAAATAACCCTTATTTTGCCAGCTCCTCCATCCCACTCCAGACAGCAAGCTTCTTCTGGTGCTAAGCCACCAGAGGTGAGAATCAGCAGTCCTTGGAGTGGCAGGAACTGAGCTGACATCCTGCTTACTTGGCATGCTCCCAGCTCCACAGGACACTGCAATACTTCAACGATACGCTGAGTTTCTTAACTTTTTTTCACCAAAAAAATGGGACTACTCGCATATATTGCTATTGAATATGGACAGTTTCTGCTGTGCTTCACAAAAATACACTGCTGGAATGAGAGAAGGGCATCTGCAATCACAGTCTTTTCTGGGAACACCTGCTGTTCTCTCCTTTCGTACAGCATACACAGCACAGAAATAGATCCTATAAAGTGCTTTCCTTAACTGCCTGCTTTAAGAAGAAAATGGGAATGAATGGCATCAAATGTAAACACAACAGGAATTTTCAATCTCTTGTTTCAGTCAAAACCAGTTTACCAGTGGAAAACTCCAAAGCGGTTCTCTTCAGTGATGGCTGCTTCTTTGTTAAATTTTGCAATTTAATATCCAGCAAACACAGAGAGGCAGCCTTTTTTAAAGGTAGCATGTTTGCTTAATCTGGCTTTGGTTTAGTTTGGTTTGGCTTGGAAAGTAAATAAGTGAATTCTCTTTCCTTCTTCACAAACCACTTTCATTATCTTCGCTTAAAAACACCAAACCCTTTCACAGGTAGTCACTACTAAATCAATCTTTCATAGTTAAAAACTGATAATCAAACAAAAACAAAACAAAATTAAAAAAAACCCTCTAGTTAAAAATGTGTGAAAATCAAGAAATTAGAATTAGACATGCTTATGCAACCCCAGTTCACTCATCATAAAAGACCCGTGAATGATCTACGAAATGTAACTGCTCACTGGTGATGCTGTTCAAACAACATTGCATAGGAGACAGCAAAGAGAATATTCAAGCCATATGCATGCTCCACCCAAGCATTAAGAAAAGGCAGCAACACAGCCCTGAGTTCTCCATCCATGAAGGCTCCCAAGTCTCATGCAAAACCAAGGAAGTCTTGAACTGGTGTGGGAAACAGCCATGATTTGACAGGGGAGCGGGACAGGATGATCCTTCTAACAGACATTTCTTTGTTTTCGCAAGGATAGCCAGTTTCAGTGAACATCCACAAAAACTGAAGGCACAGATGAGAGAAAACCACAAGTGCATAGGTCTATATTTTGTCACGGTGCTCCCATAAATAAATAAATACTCCTTCATCTCAGTCTCACAGACTAATTTTGATTAATGCCACAACATTTCTGGAGGTGGAATTTGAATACAGCTGATTCACATGCACTGGTTTTTTTTGTACCAAAGAGATACTATCAGGCATTTGATGACAACAAGACATGAAAACGTAATGAACAGTCAGGAATGATAGTATACAAAGATAGTACTTTTCAAATATGTTCCCATAACTAGTGTCAAAACAGCTCAAAATAGCTCTTGAACACGGACTAGTTCTCCAAGAAAAAGAATCATTTCAGCACTTCATACATCAGCACAAAGCCTCTGTCAGGGCTTTTAAGATATCTCAGAAAGTTTCCTGGGAAGCAGAGTTTCCCTCAGAGCCAAGACTCATGCAAGGGAAATACCAGACAGAGAGATCAAAGACAAGTCTTGTGCCTTCCTTGGATTTCTGAGCCAGCCTGGAAAGACGATCTGCAGTGGCAGAGCATTTCTCATAGAAGCTATGGGTAGCATCCATCTTCCAGAGACAAGTCAGATGACTAATTTTTAGATGATAAAGCATTAATGTTATTTTCCCTAGGATTCTAAAAGGTAGAGAAAAACCTCTTAACATAGTAGGTATTGCCATCTTTAATGAAAGGAGATAGCAATTACTGGATGCAAGATGAGGTGGTGCCTTCTCTTCACTACTTGGAGAATAATGTTAATTTGAAATAATCTCCAGCACAGCAGAACTGTACTTCATGCTGCCAAAACACAGAGTAAGGAATAGCTGCAGAGGTCAAATCATACATCATCCCTACAGTTTGAAGGTAGAATAGCTTGGCTGTATTCACAGTTCACACTCCTTCTTATCAATTTAATTTCTTCTATTAGTCTGGAATCAATTGGCAAGCATAGAAAAAAATACTCTGTTCACAGCTTTGTGGTTTGGAAAGGAGCAGGGATGTTGCATATGTTATGTCCTAATCCAACTCAGGCCTTCAGAAACTGCATTAATATGCAGACACAGCCATGAGTTTTGGTTAAGATACAAACAAAACAAAACTACTGGGGATAAAAAAAAAAAGAGAGAGAAAACCCACAAAATTCAAGCCCCAAACAAACTATACTGGGCAAACAGTGTACAACACACGCTGGAAGTGTCAGTGGGAAATCAGGACAGCAAGCAGTGGAAGGGAGGGAAGCAAGACATCCCAGCTGGGAAGCTGAAGGCAGAAGGTGATGTCTCCAAACAGAAACTTAACAGCCACTGTCTGCCATTGGACCTGTGGACCGCCACACAACTCAGGAAAGTAAACCCTGAGTGAATCTTGGCCTCCTCAGCAGCACAGCCTCTGTGGGGCAGCCAACAAGGTGCAGAGCACAAGGCAGCCCTTGTCCTAGTGCACCTCCCAGAGCCACAGCTGATGGAGAAGGCAGGAGTAATGAAAGTGACTGATGCAGAAGAATCACTTTAGAATCACAAGATATCCTGAGGTGGAAGGAACCCACAAGAATCATCAAATCCAATTTCTTGTTCCACACAGGACCACACAAATTTCAAACCCTATGTCTGAGAACAGTGTCCAAAGGCTGCTTGAACTCCTTGCAGCTTGAGCCTGTGACAGATTAAGCATTTGCAACATACCTTGTTTTAGTCAGCCTAAGCTATAGGATTAAACTGACTGAATGACCTTTTAAATACCCATGTTCATCTTCAGCAGTTAAGTCTCACTTCCTGTATCTTGCTGTCTTTCAGTCCCAAATAGATAGTAACTAATTCTTCTCCTACAAATTTTCCACTTACTCTTCTACTATCACCCGTGTTTCCAGAGAGATGATTCACAACTGCTTGAACACTGCCAGCGAAGAGATGCGCTGAGGGCATAAGAGGTGGCCACCTGCCCTGCAGGGAGACCTGAAGGAGAACCACCTGAGGAGCAGACCAGGTTCCAGCCCATGCAGGGAGCGGCTGCTGGGCAAGACAGGAGCCTGCTGGCAGCGCCAAAGGAAGAAGGCACACAGAAAGTGGCACCCATGGGCCCCACCATTCAAGTGCTTGAAGAAAGCCACCACCCAAACCAGTGCTGCTCCAGCCCTACCAGACCCTGCTGCAGCTGCACGTAGGGAAACGTGCCAGCCTCTGGCCTCCTCCCTGCTGCCACCGAGCAGCAGCCAAACCATGGCTGCCACCTCTGCCCCTTCATCTTATATGGGACCCAGGTTTTCAGCTGGCCCACTGCAGCACGAGCTTCCTCGGCACCCACAGACACCTGAGCAGCAGGCTCCTTGGGCTCTCCTTACCTCATCCCATGGCCATGCTGACAGCAGCCATGCTGATGCCTCCTCACAGGCAGCCCCATCCTGCCCCAGTTGCACCTGCAGCTCACCAGGCACATGGAGGAGATGGGCTGGCACCTTAGTGTGAGACCACTGCAGACAGCAGGGACTGCAGCACCTGTTACAGGTTCATAAATTGAGAGCTCATAGACAGAAAGCTCTGGAAAGGTGTTGGAGTGATAAAACGTTCTCCATTCTCATGTCCTTTTATTTATTTGTCCTTTTATCTATTTATTTTTTTAATGACTCTGGAAATAAAATGTTTTAATAGTAAAGCTTTTCAGTTATCATGTCCTTTAGTCATTCCTTCACTCATTTATGTATTTAATAGTGAAATCACAGATTGAATCTTAAGTTCTCTTAATAAAATGCAGTAACAAGATCTTACTGTTGGAATAAGATGATTTGCACATTTTTCCCCCCCAAAAAACAAAACTGAAACAACAGAAAAAAAACCCCAAAAGCTGTAACTACACTTCAATAACTTCATTTTTTCTCTACTGGAGGCAGAAGCTGGAGGTGCAGGTCATTCCCAATTAAAAAAAATAAAATAAAAGTAGAGTGCCACCGCTGCTACCCTACTGATTTTGTAAAACAATAGTGAATTGTTAATTAGGAAATGACAGCAGTTTCAGCAATGGGGACATATGGAAAATGATAAAAAGAAAAGACTGAGGGTGAACTCAATGAAAACACAAAGGGAAAAAACACCCCAAAATTAAACCTTGGAAGCATACAGTTACATGCAATTAAAGAAATCTGTGCACAAGTAGATTAATAGGCCTGGCAGCAGCTGAGAGAGCGTGATGGGGCAGCAGACGTCTGGTCTGAGGAGAACATGTGCAATGGTCATAAAACACGGAGAGGATTACAGACTTGTTTTCAGACTGACCAGATGCCAGGAAAAGGCCACGAAAAACACAGCTCACTTGACGATGTATGAGGAGCTTTAGTTTCATATTTATCTTTCGCACTTCCTGCTGTACTTATGGGAAGTCTGGGAGGTAGTTTAGTTTGCCATACAGCATAAGTAGCTCAATTGTCAAACACGTTTTATGGAATGCAATTGGCCTGCTCTACATTAACAGTGAGCTGCACCCCACCATTAACCTCTGACACGTTGGATGAGTATGGACAAGGGCAACTTCTACTTGTGTCAGCCATTTGTTATGTTCTGAATGTTATATTCCAATCTTAATGAACAAATTTAAAATGATTAGATTTTTTTGGTTTTGGTGCCCTATTTCCATAAAGTATGTAGGTAAGAATTTAAAAACAATTGAGCAGGAACTCCACAAATGCCTCAACTTCATACAGTGCTGAAGTCCTTAGAAGAACAGGGACATGCTGATGCACTGGGACTCAGAAAGACAAGAAATATAGCTCAGCAATATTTGGTTAGAAATTAGTAATGCATTTCTCTTTGCTTATCCAAACTAAATTAATTTTCTTTTTTTATTTATTAATTTTAATTGTATCATGAGGCCCAGAATCATAAAAGCCATGCTGAGCATACACAAGGTGAACTCTCTTATCTACTATTTGACCACTGCAGTCTCAAGGAACTCATTTTTTGGTTTTGCCTCACATGCATGAAAGAAGGAAGCTAAACCTTCATGGTAATCCACATGCTCAAGAAAGGAAAGCATGCTTCCTGAAAACTCCACATATCGCCTTCAGCCATTATGTTGATCCAATAGTCATCAAAGACAGAGATCGAAATTGTTCACCTTCATGTGATTTGTCTGATAGAAGTCCAGGCAGAATCATAGGACAGCTTGGGTTGGAAAGAACCTCAAGAGATCATCAAGCTCCAACCCTCCTGCTGCAAGAAGGGCTGCCAACCTCCATATCTAATTGTCTCCCTATCGGCTGTTGTGACTAGAGAAAGAAAATCCATCATCCCAAATCATATCAAAACGTATCCAAGTCAACAGAAATCATTTCTGAAAATCAAATTTCAAGGACTGCTTGGTCCTACAGAAATGTAGGTCACTCTGAAAGCATTACCTCCCATTTACTTTAATGGAAACTACAACAGATACAAAGAGCACAACACTATTGAATAGAGCAAATTCTCAGCTACAAAACACTCTTTTTTAATATAGTCATCACCATTATCTATGTGTTTCTGCCAGCAGTGAATAAGAGAGTCCGTAAAAATCCAGTAGAGGAGACCCACTGCCACTGTTGTCACAGCTGAAACATAACACAGCTGAAATATCATAAACTTGCACTGCAAACATTAGTCACTCTTTTCTCCTTTACAGACATTTTGTACTCTGATATTACAGACTCAATTGTAAAAGTGCTTAGTGAAGTAAGGGTAGCTGGTCTTAAAGAGTAGTTTATAAGGGTTTAATAAGTCTGTATTTAGCTGTAGACTGCGAAGACCTTTTCAGATTTACCATGATAAAATGTCGAAGAAAATGTGTTTCACTGTTGGTGAACACTTTAATAAATAGACTCAAAGGTAGTCCATAACCAACTCTTCAGGAGCTACTCTGCAAACGGATATGGTACAGCAGTCTGTGGTCAATGAAAAGAAAATATATTGGGATTTTAAAATGGAGGGGAGGAGTACGAACAAAGATATTTTATCTCTTCTGTCTCTACTTCCAGCAGAATAGTTGTGGCTTGTAATAACTGTTGTTCCCTTCTGCATTCCACAAGAAAAGAGAGCAGGAAAAAATGAATACCTTGAGCCAAACCACATGTCTAATTTTTTTTTCCCTTAACATGACCCTATGCAAAACATACAGCAACAGAGAAGCCAACAGACATGGAAATAGCACAAAGGAGAAAGCAAACAGCACTCACAATAGAAAAGACTTGAAGTTATAAATCGATGTTACATAGCTACAACATGTAAGTCAGGCTCCTTTGTAGCTTGGGCTTCCCAGGAACGAGGAGCAAGCTCTTGTTTGAAGATTAACATCGCTTCCCAGCACACATGCTATACTTCACAATCACTGCAAAGGCTTAATGAAAGGCTTTCCAGGAACAAGAAAAGGACAGTGTTGCTTTGTAGTGTTGTTAGGGCTTTTTGTTGCTGTTGTTTTTTGTTTTTTTTTTCATTCAATCATTAAATAACAGCAAAATACAGTGGAGCCTGCATTCCTGGATATAAGCATTTCTAAATTTGGAGCATTAAATAGTAATCCTATATATTTGACACTATGCTTATCATTTCGACATTCTGAAATCATTTGGGGGTCTAGATACCTGGCAGAGAGATCCTAACTTCTCCTAGTGCAGCTGGGGCATGAATATCATAGTCAAGTGTTACTTCAGTTACCAATGATTTTTTGCCATAAATTTTCAAGATTAACTCCATGCTAACTGCAGAATTAGAGAGATCTAGCAACGTATTAACAGTCAGGGCTGCAGGTCATTTGTAAGGCACATTCCCAGGCAAGACTGGCTGTATTTTTCAGTTCAGCTGCCAAGTCTATTTTTTCTAATGTTCTTTAGGATGGTCCAGAAAAATGACATAGAAAATAAAACAAAAAGGCAAAATGGGTCCTGTCATGTAAATGACTTTCTCTTCTTGACAGTTCTAATAAAATTAAATGATGATGGGGAAAGTGGACACTATAGCAGATCTCTGCTCTCCAGATGAAGATAGTAGATGCAGATTCAAGTGTTTCTTTGCCTTTGGTGTTTTAAATCCAGTAACTCCTAGAAGACTGCTTTAATGTGTGATTTGAGTGCTTTGACCTCAGTATTCTTCACTAAAACCCCAACAGCACTCACTGAAATGAAGCCAATAAGAGAATGGTTGCGTGGATTGGTGATGTTACGGTGGCTGAGAGTAAGAGGATAACTGAGAAAAAGGATCTAGATTGTGTTCCAAGGATACACAGCAAGAGGAGAAACAGAGATTGATCTTCATGTGAGATAGAAATAGGAAATGACACTACAAAATTTCACTAGGCAAAGAGCAAGCTGAATTTGGGTATGGCATCCTGTCCAATCTTCTTGCATAAGCATTAGAGAACTTGGTAGTTGGAAACCAAACTCAGCACCTTCCTTTTTCAGGAAGTTTTGGCCCTGTAGGTTTTGGTCCTACAGAACTTGACCTACAGCTGAATCTATACTGTGAATTCACTTGAACCTTAATATTCCCCCTTCAATTTTCCATCCAGCTTCATGAAGATCAACAGAAAATGCAGTTTCAGGTTGCACATGAATTCCACACCTGAAAAGACTCTGCTGGAGCTTCAAGACACTTTTAGTTTTTCAAGGAAAATGAATGAGAGCAGATATCAACCTCAGAGTAGGAAGCTAAACCTAGTTTTGGCATGAATTCCTCAAAGCCTATTACAACTTCGGCTAATACAACACAGATTCTCCTGCACCACAAAAAACCATTCACAATAGCATGGTTATCACAGTGAGCAAAACCACAGAAGCAAGGTTAACTGCACTGCTAGTCTAGCCAGACAGTCTGGGCACTCTCACCAGCCAGCCAAGCCCAAGTCCAGCCACAAATTCCAATCTGCATTGCTCTCTTAATGGACTCTAGCCCATGGGGAACAGGAAGCATTTCTCTTTGTGTTCATTTACTTACTGTCTTTTCTTCTGGACTCCCATTGGGCACCTCTACAACCCGGAGGTCAGGGTCCACCTGCACCCTCGCCCTTGTGACAAACTGGATAACTGATGAAATGTCCTGAAAAATAAAAAGATAAAGAACTGGATTCATGGGTGGGAAAATAAACAAAACATCAAAAGTCCTCAAAACAAAACATCAAACATTTGAAACGCTTGGTACTGTGATAAATACATCTGGATAATGCTTAGTGTAGGTTAGGTTGAGAGCTAAGTACTATCCTGGTTAAAAGCCTGCTTTGAAAAAAAATATACTTTACACTCAACATTGATAAAAGCAAGCACATTCCATCACACTAAAATAAAATCAACTATGTTGGAGTTCAAACAGCATTCGTTCGCATTTGAACTTGGAACACAATTTCTATTTAGCTGTTTGTTTTATGTTATTGTGTTGTTTTTTTCTTTGTTTACCACATTTACCACAAAAGCCAAAGACTGAGAACCTTACCAATCACTGCAGACAATCCCAATATTAACCATTACAGGAGAAAACTTCTTATTTTTCAAATGAACAGAAAAAAAACCACAGGAAAGCTGGGGCACGCTCAAGTATAAGCCACAAAGAAGACTGCATAATTAATTGAATGTGTGCACTTCAAATATCTTTAATATTTATTGTACATCTTCCCTTACTAATATATTATTTCTCCTATATTTTATGAATTGCATTATAACAGGCACATTCTAATAAGCAATCTTAATTCATATCTTAATCATTCTTAAGCCATTTGCACTGGGAAACATAAGCATAGGTAGCAAATGTCAAGTATTAGTGATACTGACCCAGAGACTTGGGTAAGTTCTACATGTGGGATGAATCCTGGCTATTCCCAGGACAGAATTCCTCAGAAGCACATTTCAAGGCACTCAGTTAAGTGCTAACACATTTTAGCTTTTCTATCTACAAGTAACAAACACCTGAAGCTTCTGGACTTCCTAGTAACTTCTGTTTTCAAATACATACATTAGCAGATACAGTTGATTTCAGCTGGAAAGGCTCAGAGCTACATATTACTTTAGGAACTTATCCCTAATAAGGGCTCTCTCCAATATTTTTAATCCAGCACTTCTTAAATGCAGGTTTATTTTAATAGGCTTGTGTTATCAATTTTCTCCTCTGATTATCTTATACATTTACAACCTTACAGCATCTTGCCATAACTACACAGGCATTATTTTTTTTAAAGTGTAGGAAACTAGGAAAAAATGTAGAAATGTTATAGATTTGCTATTTCATCCAGTGACTTCAGAGAAGAGAAGAGTCAGCTTGCAACCATTCGTTTCTTGTCACAAATGTCAGGCTCAGCATTAATATGGTTGCAGTGCATCTTCTTTGAATAATAATCATTTGAAGTAAAAAATTACAATAAACTGCCACGTCTCTGTTTACATGGAAGGAATGATGATGTGTCACAGTTTACAAGCACTTAGTCTATTTCTCAGCTTTCTGACTGAGAACTTTCAGAAATCAATTCCACTTTCAGAAGTCTCCTGCCTTACCACCATGCATACAATTAGGGAGCTTCACTTGCTGTTTCTCAATGTATAAATTTCTAAACTTCATTTATTTCTGTCTTAATGGGAAATGCATAAGAACTAGGATTAACACCTCCATACATGCTGTTGATAAATAGATCTGTTTTCTTTGACACCGTGATTTTTTTTTTTATAACACACTAGTAAACAGAGGGAATAATGTGAGTTCTGTGTCTGTTAATGCATGTAAGCATGGCTGTTTAGAACAGGTGACAAAGGCAGCACTTACCTTCTTCAGTATTTCAGTGTTCAGCAGTGTGTAAATACTTATTTCACTGGACTCTGCTTTTGCTAGTGAACTTAAGTTGCAGCGTATAATTAAGCAGGACCTGCCTGGTCTTTCACAGTCCTACAGAAAATATGGAAAAAGCTGTTAGGCAAAGGAGGAGGTAATTCACTGAAAACTGTGCAACTGTAAACACTCCTGCTGACTAAGAGGCACGGTAAGTTGCAAAAAGCCAGCTCTGCTGTGCTGAAATAGCAGTTTTCAAGACCCGAAGACAACAAGGTAGTAAGGCCTGAATTAAAGCAAGACAAGTGAAATTCAGCGTCCAAAATTCAGGGTGGGCTCTGTTGGCCTTTCCACCCACCTTCAGCAATGTGAGCAAAGACTCTGGTTACCAAGTGCATGCTGCCACTTCAGGTAGCTCCCTTAATTGTAGCCATTTGAAAATCAGAAAACTGGACTTGTGAAGTATCTCCGCAGGTTTACTAGATATCCCTGTATCAGTATTAGTCTACATACATCAAACAGCTGCTTGATGGTCAGCTCTCTGCTCGAGTTCCTCAGGCTGATCCATGCAAAGCTTTTAGTAATAAGCACTGTACGTTTGTATATTTCACGTGGACTTTCTTACCAATACTTTTCTGCCAGACTTTGTGAAAAAAGCAAATATAGTGTGGAAAATATTTTCCTTCTCTTGAGGAACAACACACGGGTTGCGGTTCCGGTGAAAAGAGCAGCTGCCTTTGTCCTGACCAACCTGCAAGCACAAACGTACTCAGTTATTATTCTGAATTAAAATAAATGCCACAAGAAGGTGGAGTTAACCTGCCCAAAGAAGGTGCCTCCATCTGAGCTGGATGTCTGGACTCCTATTGAGAGGCAAAAGAGAGAAATAAGCCACGTACCATTTTAAGTCAACTGTGTTACTCTGTGTATTACATTTCTTGTATTATTGGTGCTTGGCCACCTGGACTGTTTCACAGTTTTCATCTGAACAAATAAGCTAAAGGAAATCATTGTGTAAACACACAATCGTGGCCACCAAATCTGCACCCCTACCTTCAACATAAATAGCACAAAAATAATGAAAGTCTGTTTGTATATTGCATCTTTAACATATTCACTTATCCAGAAAAAGAGATGAAGCAAGCGCAGTGCAATAATGTAAAAAAATGATCTTCAATCAAGATAACCTTGCATAAGAAAAACATTCTTCCTTTCTGCTAATTATGAATATTCACTGGAGAAAATCAATTGGAGTTTAATACAACCTGTGACAATAAAATATCAGCAAATGCCCCCTGCCTCCATCTTTAAAAGCTGTGTGAGATTTTTCTAAAAGACACCAAGTGATATTCCTGCATATCCTGTTGCTAACTTCTCCACATCCTCCACTCTGAGGATGAAAACTTTTACCTTACTTAAATCATAAATGTTTTAGAAATAAAAAAGATTTTATTATTATGTTTTTAAGTTGCTGCATGCTCTGTGTCACATTCTGCATGGGCGCTTTTCAGCCGTTAGCCAAAGTGTTGCCAAAAGATAAACAAAGCCTTATCTACATTTTAAACACTGTCTACCAGACAAGTGATGGCCAAGTCCCATAGTAGGGTAGAGCTTTTCTGCTCCTCTGGCCCACAAATACTTCATAATCTGTTCTTTGAACTATGTATTCACATCCTGGCTTTAAATAATCTGTTCTTACGTTCCCATTAGATACATACACAAGGAACTATCCAGTGTTTATAGTTTCTTGGGATCGACTGAAAATTAAGACTACAATGTTCTCCACTTGTCCAAGTCATCTGGAATAAGATTTCTTTATTTATTGTACATAAGAGATGCACAAAGCACACTGACTTTTATTTTCTTTGAACTTTCACGTGGGAATTGGATTCAGATCAACCAGAAAGTTTATGTTAAATCAAGAACAGCAAAGAGTCCAGACCTGCTCAGTACCTGCTCCTTCTTCCTGAAAGCTGGAATTACCAGAGATTTGGACAGATTCACGTAAGAGATATGGAGAGAACAGTATGAGCTTCTACACTATCCCAGTCTCTAAACAGTCCTGCTTTACATCTTGTATAAACAAAATGTAAGAACAAATTAAAGCAGAAATAGCTCAGAAGACAGAAAGGCATGATCTGGCATGAAGCAACGTATATCTGGTCCTTTCTTCTGTAAATGATTATATTTTCTAAAACTGAAGCTTGGACAACCTCATTCTTTTTAACACACTTTACTTGACACAGAGGAAGCCTCCTCTCCAGAGGACTAAATCTGAAAATGGAAGTATCCTTCCTGTCTGCCAATTATGCAGTAATCCTGCTCAAGGCAGCTATTAAATTCAGCATCTCGGACCATATTAGGAGGGACACGTTCAGAACCAAACATCTCCTGTCACCTGTGCTGCTCTGGGACAGAGCAGGGGCTCACTAACAGCCTGCTTTAGTAACCAAAGATAGGCATCAACTCCAGAGAATGAGGTAGACACTAATCCGCTTCCAGAATTTGGGTGAATTCCACTGGGCAGCAATTCTGTATTCAGGTGCAACGTGTGTATCTGCAATCTATCAGCATCTCAGTGGGCAGGAAATGATCCAATGCAGCTGAGAAATTCTCTGTACCTTTAAGGATACTTAGAAATATCAGAGTCACTGAATAAGGAAAAAAATAACAAAACTCTTTGAAACGAGTGGATCATGTGAGCTAGGGTGAAATCTAGCCTGCTCAAACAACAGGCATTTGTTTGTTTTTCTTAGGATGGCTGTCAGTCACATTTCATATCAGCTCTTATTTTCCTCAATTTTTATCTGAATAAAGGGAAGGTTCAGCCAAGCAGTCAGACAAAGGTAAGCCTGGTAACTTTTCATTAAACTCTATCACCAGTGAAAGATTCAGCTCCAGGAAACCAGACTATTGGACAGAAGTTCTGCACAAAGCTCCTGCTCCCATTATGCTGAGATTGAGCTTTAAAATACACACTGGAATGCCCATGTTTGAGCTTCTCCTCGTCCAAACAAGATACTACCCTACACACCTGTTTTAATTCTTGTGACCAATTTCATAATCTAATACACATTAAAAAAAAATCAGAAATTTTCTTCTAAAGGCTTTGTGTGAGCAAATGCTTATCATTGATAGAAGCAAGAACTGTGCAAGTCTTAGAGTGCATATCCAGTCTCTGACGAAGTCTTGGAGTTACTAGGTATGTGATATACTAGGGCTTTTTAGAAACTTTCATGTAAACTTAGCAGTCTAAAAGCAGAAGAGGACTACCACCAAAATGATCTTCCCTGGGATATAATATTTCATAGAAACAGCAGAAGTGGGATGCATGTTCCGTTTGCATTCAGTGCAAGTACTCTACAGTAGTGACAGAGAAAAATCAACGTTCAACTCCTAACACAAACAAGCAGCAATAAACAAGGACAGAATGGAGACTGTCCTAAATCCTGCACTGACATGGCTGCTTGGGAAATAAAAGCCTTGCCCTGAGTGGGGTACCCGGCAGGAATCCCCTGCTGCTTCCCAAGGAGGGATTTCCAAGGAGCTGTGTCAGAACAGTCTTTGCTGCAGGCTGTTACATTCTGTTTTCCAGAAAGCATTCATCTGTTTTAAATCCTCTATAAAACCATTTGCAGCCTGGTACACTGGCAGTACAGCCACATCTCCAGCATCAACAACAAAAGTAAAATTTTCCCCTACAAGATTTTTCTTAAAATTTTTCTTTTCTTTTTTTTCTTTCTTTTTTTTTTTTTTTTTTTTTTTTTTTTAACCAGGTTCTTCTTATGCCAGGCCATTCTTCTTATTCTTAACTTGTCATATGCTACAAAACACCCTAACATAAGCGCATCTTATATGTTACTTTTTTTCTAGCTTTATGTCAAGCCAAGAGGCACTTTTGTCAAACTGCTCAGCTTCAAGGTAAAGGGAAGCCTGACAGAACAGCAGAGTGATAAAATGCACAGACTTCACTCAGATCCCACTTGCATTCCTGCATAGCTGTAGATGCCAGAAACCCACCTGTAATTTTCAAGAGGGAGAGGTTATTCGGAGTCCCTCAGCACCTTTCAACACCCAATTAGGTCCAATTTCAGCAGTGGTGATTTTTAAGAAGGTTTTTAAGAAGGTGTATATAGGTTTTACCTATATATCCAAAATTTAATGACTATTTGCTGACAAACATACATATATGTGTATTCCGCTGTTCTATTCAATGTAATGTGCATAAACATGAGCAGATAAAAGCCTGAACTCTGTAAACAGTGTCTTGCATAACAGGCCTCTAAAATTCACCACATGTCTCCAGTGGCTAGTATTATTCCTATTCCATAACCATATAGAAAAGCAAACCATGCCTTGTGTCACCTTCCCTACTCATCAACAGCCACACGTTCAGAGCCAGGTCACACTCCAACTTTATTAAATTTACTGAAACTTGCTGTCCCATTAAAAGGCTCACTAACGTGACTGAGAGACAACATTTAAATACAACAGCCTACACGACGGGTTACTCTGCCAACTTTTTGCTTCTCAGAGACAAGACGTAACCACTGAGAAAGCATGTGCATTACTTCATGTTTTAGGAATGCTGTATCTGCAAAAAAGAAGAAATTCCCATAGGACTTCTGTGGATGCTGAATATTTAAGAGGCCTAGCAGAGCAGAAGAAAACCCGCTAACATAATAATGATTTTTAAGTATATCAGCTTGCACTACCCTGAAAAGAAAGAGGTGGGAGGACATTTCAGAGTGAAAATTGTAGGTAAGGCATACCAGTTATATTCCATATGCATTACATATCCAGAAAAGCATAGGATATTTAATAGAGCTGGATGGGTCTTGTTGTGAACCACAGCTATCATCCTCTCTGACCTTCTGTACGTAGTTTTATAAGAATACTTGGGCTGGGCTTCGCACTCCAGCAAGATGGCACTAGTGCAAGGAGGACAACCACCATACTGTCCCCAAGGAACACAGAGGGTAACCCAAAATCAATGCAACACCATCTGCATTTCTAAACCACGTCAGATGTGGGTTTAATGGGTTTAGGGTTTCTGGCAGGAATAATGCACCCGCAGCCTCAGTACTTCACCTTCAGGGCACACCTAACACCCTTTCTGCTAATATCTATCTACACTCACAGCATTTCTAGCAAGTCTAGCAAGGGGCCTTGGGCAAGCTGGTCTAGTGCCTGATTTAGTTATTGGCCAGCCTTCTCACAGCAGAGAAGTTGGAACTACACAATCTTTGAGGTCCTTTCCAACCAAAGACATTCTACGATTCTACGATTCTAAGTCTTTGGGGGTGTTTATGAGGATGCTGGGCTATTTTATCACACATTTTAAGGTTTCTGGCCATATTTGGCAGCAACAAATTTCATTGCTGATCTGAAAGCCAGTGAACGTTTTTAGACTTGATCTGAACCCTGTTTGACATGCATCAAAAATAAGACTTTTTTTTTTTTTAATTCAGGCCCTCATATCATGCACAACATGGCAATCCAGGAGAGGAAAGTGAAATACAGTTTCAAAACAGGGGACTAGAGAGGTCAGCTGAGGACCACGCACAGGAAAGTGGAAATTGGCAGCCAGTATGGGGTTAAGTATGTGCATACGAAAGGAGTTTTTTGGAGGAGTGAGACAGAAAAATAAGAGGAAAACGGCTGTCGCTTCCAATGATGCATTAATACAATCTCCCCAATGTGTTGCTGCATATAAGAAGCTGAGCACTAACCTCATATTTAATGTTTAGC